ACTAAGCTTTTTGTGCTTCATCTTTTATCTATTGACACCAAGATAAGTTTCCATTAGCTAAAGTTTCTTAGCATCTTCGAGCTACTCTTTTTGACTACCCGACTTCACGCTACCACAAAAATCCAGACATAAGACATTTTAAACCCGTTTTAATGTTATTTTGCAGAAAAACAATTGGCCTTTCTAAAGAAACAAACCTTTCTTGCAAAGTGAAACAGGTCAAGCTGGCCTTCTGTAATGAAACCTAGCTCATCTAAGGCAGTTTTTCATGGAGATTCCGAATCTGCTTTCAAAATCGGCTAAGCAGCTTTCGGGCAAAAGTTATGAGCAGTTGAAGTTTCGGGCTGCCTCTATAAGTCCCTTACACTCTCCAAAGGAAGTCTGCTGATGGCGTAGTGGGTAGGGGCCTTATCTCAAAGACGGTCTTTAGGCTTGCTCGCGTTCGATCCCTCTTGCCAAAAAAGCTTTTTCTTTTCTATTTTAACACCTTTAGTGTCTTATATTAGTTTTGTTTGACCTCTTGATTCATATTTGATCAAATTTACATTTCAAAAGACAATAATGACCAAAAACATGACTGTATAATTATTCAACAAATTTTAACAAACATGATAGAAGACAATGAAACAATGGAAACGAAAATAAAAGTCGCACTTTGGACAATGAATGAATAGTAGATCGAGGCAATTATTTTTTTCTTATTATTATTATATTAATTATTATAAGCTTTTTGACAAGCTTTCCAACAGAAATGCCCGGATTGACAACCATTGATCTAAAATTATTTTATGAAAGATTAGATCATCCCAGGCGGACTGATGGAGGCCATTGCGGGGACTGGTGAACAGTTACAGCCTTACAGGGCATCAGGGCATCCTCCTTCTGGGCCCATTTGGCATATATGGGTAAAGCTCATCTTTTCTAGATGATTCACGACTGTGTGCGCACACAGAGAACAGAAGCCACCAAAGAAAACAGCGAGATTTTTTACAAGAGGGATCGAACCCGAGCAAGCCCAAAGGCCGTCTTTGAGATAAGGCCCCTACCGCCATCAGTAGACTTCCTTTGGAGAGTGTAAGGGACTTATAGAGGCAGCCCGAAACTTAAACTGCTCATAACTTTTGCCCGAAAGCTGCTTAGCCGATTTTGAAAGCAGATTCGGAATCTCCATGAAAAACTGCCTTAGGTGAGCTAGGTTTCATTACAGAAGACCATCTTGACCTGTTTCACTTTGCAAGAAAGATTTGTTTCTTTAGAAAGGTCAATTGTTTTTCTGCAAAATAACATTAAAACGAGTTTAAAATGTATGTCTAGATTCTTTTTGGGAGTGTGAAGTCGAGTAGTCAAAAAGGGTAGCTCGATGATGTTAAGGCACTTTAGTTAATGGAAACCTGTCCTGGTGTCAATAGGTTTCATTAAAGAAGGCCATCTTGACCTGTTTCACTTCCCTAGTTAGGTGATTGGTGCTTTAAACTGTTAGCTGTTGCTTTAAACTGTTGCTTTAAACTGTTGCTTTAAACTGTTAGCTTTAAACTGTTAGCTTTAAATTGTTGCTTTAAACTGTTGCTTTAAACTGTTAGCTTTAAACTGTTAGCTTTAAACGGGAGTACGAAAATGAACAAAAACCTTCATGAATTTCTAGATCTTTCTAGATCTTTTTATATTGAAAAGAGACAAGATTACAGTGAATTTCTAAAGCTAACGCGTTTTAGAAAACGTATTATTTGAGAGGAATATACTCCTTTTAGAATGAGCTAGCTTGGTGACTAGACTTTAGGATCTATCTGACTACAATTCGATCATATTCCTTTCTGCAAATCGTTACGCTACCATTTTCCTCACATTTTTCACATTATCCCTTTAATGCTTTCAAATGCCCTTCAATATTTGAAAATGGCGCGGAAATTTCCCCGATTGGACAGCGGATATTTTTGCCAATTTCTGTCCCAACAGAGACGCGCATCTGTCGTTGAAAAATGGGCAGAGAAAAGGGGAAAAAACCCCTCTGAATGTCCGTGACAGCCGATGAATTCCCATTGCATTCATTCGCTTTTTTTTTCCACGAATCCCTTTCCTTCAGATTTTGTTTTTCATAGTGTTTTTGTAGTTGGATAGACCTTTGACAAAGGCTTTCATTGGGAAAGCGAATTGAAAACTTTAGACAGAAAACTGATGCTTTTTCTGGTTTAAATTGTGATCATGCTCTTTCTAGATTATAATTTTTAACAAATTTTTAACAAATTCTTAACAAATTTTGAATTTACAACCCCAGCATTGGTTTTTTATTGTTTATTATTGTTTATTAATTTGTTTGCAAATTGTTAAACTCCATCATTTGTTAATATCTTTGTTACTTTTGATGAAATAACTTCTATGGAATAACCTCATTCATTCAGTAACAGCAATAGTCCCATTTGGTTAACAAACTCTAAGGAAATTCCCTTAAATTTCTACAATTCCCTTAACTTATTAGAATATGATAGTTTTTAAATTGAATATTTGAACAAAGGACTCGCAGATACCGATTTCTGGTGTTCTTTTCCTCCCGTTGACCCCCTCTTCCATCCAGGAGTTTTTATGATTCTTCACATTTTGCCTTATCTCTTCCCTTTTCTCTAATCAATGCCAATCTAAAATAGCCAAAGGCCGATTGAGTTTTGGTTAGACTTTTCTGATTTGTTTCTTATAATTGTCTAGAGCTTTTTTGTTGCCCAATCTTGGCAAAGTTGCTTTTACTTTTTATGTAAAATCAAGACATAGCTTTTCTCTATTTTCTGTAAAGTTTTCAACCAAATCCGTCCAGCCGCTTTTTCTGAATTTTGGTTTGAACACAAAAGTCCTGAAATAAAGGATTTTGATCATATGGAGCACTCTGAATAACTTGAAATTTATAGAAAACGGCTGGATGATGTAGCAGAGATTGATCTTTCTTTACGAGCGCCGCCTCATCTACTAGCGCCGGCTTATATACAAATACCGCCCTAGCTACTAGCGCCGGCTTATATACAAACACCGCCTTATCTACTAGCGCCGGCTTATATACAAACACCGCCTTATCTACTAGCGCCGGCTTATATACAAACACCGCCTTATCTACTAGCGCCGCCTTAGCTACTAGCGTCACCATATAAACGAGCGCCGCCTTATCCTCAGAACGTTAGTGTCAGTTTCCATCAAAAAAGTTGCCAACTCGCGAATTTTGCTTACTAGCCTTTGCGCTCCCGGGAAACGCCAAAAATGAAACCTTTTCTAATTTGCCAACAACGATTTTGCAAAGGAAATATAGATCTTTCCAATGGTGCAAACCGTACTTCATTTGGTGCATTCAACATTTGTAAAAGTAGTTTTTAGTGAAAAAGTCCGGTTATCTAGTTGACAACCCAATAATTAGTTGTCTTGGTTAAACGTAAATTTTTACCTGTTTCTTCTTTAGATTCTTTACAAGCTTAGATCTATCTTTCGTGGAAAAAGCTTGACAATTTTTAGTTACCTATCCTACAAGCCTTTTTCAATTTCTAGCAAATTTTCAATCCGCTTTTGTTGAAAGCAAATTTAGTCACCAATTCAATTTCGGAGGGTAAAAAAGGAAAACCGTGCAATTTTCACACAAAAAAAAGCTTTTTCCTCACAGTTTTTTCGGTTGTTTACGCCAATTCCAAACGAAAAGCTCAGAAATTTTCAAAATTTAGAAATAGAATTCCCAAAAAGATCAGATCAAATTTAGATTTGGTTAGATTTGGGATAGGTTATATTCGGGATGGGTTAGATTTGGGATAGTTTAGATAGGGATAGGTTGGATTCGGGATAGATTTGATTCGGGATAGGTTATATTCGGGATAGGTTGGATTCGGGATAGGTTAGATCCTCAATAGGTTATATTCGGGATAGGTTAGGTTCGGGATAGTTTAGATTTGGGATAGTTTAGATAGGGATAGGATATATTCGGGATAGGTTAGATTCGGGATAGGTTAGATTCGGGATAGGTTAGATCCTCAATAGGTTATATTCGGGATAGGTTAGATTCGGGATAGTTTAGATAGGGATAGGATATATTCGGGATAGCTTAGATTCGGGATAGGTTAGATTCGGGATAGGTTAGATCCTCAATAGGTTATATTCGGGATAGGTTAGGTTCGGGATAGTTTAGATTTGGGATAGTTTAGATAGGGATAGGATATATTCGGGATAGCTTAGATTCGGGATAGCTTAGATTCGGGATAGGTTAGATTCGGGATAGGTTAGATCCTCAATAGGTTATATTCGGGATAGGTTAGATTCGCGATGGGTTAGATTCGGGATAGGTTCCCCTAGAACCCTGAAAATTTTCATCTTTTTGTAAAGTTCATGCTTCTGGCAACTTGAGTTAAATGGCTCCATAAAAAGTCGGTTTTTCTGAAAAGTTTTCAAATTTTGGAAATAGAATTCCCAAAAAGATTCAGCTCAAATTTTTCATACTTTTTGTAGAATTAGTCCGAAGAAAAAAAGACGATTTCCATTTTTATCTTTGCTATCAATCTTTCTTTTTGTTTTTCTTTTGAAAAGTCAACACTTTCGCTCTTTTTTCTCACAGTTTTCCTCACAGTTTTTTTTTGAGAAGGATTTTTGAAAAGGATAACATTTCGAAAAAGCTTTTGTATCATTTTCAATGTTTTTTTTTTCATTTTTCCAGCGATTTCCAGCGATTCTTAGTTTCAAATCGTTCAAATTGGGGCTTTTTTTCGTAAAGTTGCCAGCAAGTATGAGAAATTCCATAAATTTGATTGATTGTCCGGGAGAAATGGACGGCTCGACGGTTAGAGGGAAGATTGACATTTATTGCCCGTTCACACACCGTTTCTTATCATTGAGTAGAAGTTTTTTTTTAATTCTTTTTAATTCTTTTTAGTTGATTTTGTGCTTTTTGAAATATTGACTTGATACTTTCGCTACTTTCGGTGCTACTTTCGGTGCTGCTTTCGGTGCTACTTTCGGTTTTAATTTTCGAAATTTCAGGGGTAAAAATGGCGGATGTCGAGAATGATGTGAAGCGGGAGGACGTGAAACGTGAGTGAATTTTGATGACGTCTAGTCAAAATCCGGCTATAATTCATCGATTTAAACACTCAATATTTATTTTTGCTTAAGAAAACAAATGGATTTTTGAATTTTAAACCCTGTTTGCAACAGTTTTTAACAGTTTTTAACAGTTTTAGCAAAGGTTTGAGCTTTTAAAGTTTCTTGTAGAGTTCGGCAAACAAAACCAAAACCAAAACAGACCAAAACCAAAACCAAAACCAAAACACCAAAACAAACCAAAACCCAATTTGCATATAAATTAGCATGTGAATTTAAAATTGTAAAATGCAAATTTGACTTTCACTTTTTCTCACTCCCCAAAATCTCGCGGCCGAAAAAAGGACCAAAACACGACCTCGAAATTTCGAAACAAAAAATAGCCTATGGGATAGATTTTTGGACGCTGATTTCAAATCTGCAAACAGATTTTCGCTAGCTCCTCCCAATCACGAGATATTGGCGAGTTTTGGTTAGTTTTGGTTTTGGTTTTGGTCTGTTTTGGTTTTGGTGGTTTTGGTTTTGGTTAAGTTTTGTTTTCCGAAGTCTAGTTTCTTGAGATTACATTTGACATAAACTAGTCAAAGTCAAAGGAATTTTTGAATTTTAAACCCTGTTTGCAACAGTTTTTAACAGTTTTAGCAAAGGTTTGAGCTTTTAAAGTTTCTTGAGATTACATTTGACATAAACTAGTCAAAGTGAAAGGAATTTTTCAATTTTAAACCCTGTTTGTCGTTCAAGGTTGGCTTTTGTTTCTGAGTAGACTAGTCAAAGTTTATGTCAAATCTAATCGATCTTTGTTCTTGTAAGACTCAAAGTGCTTGATTTACATTTCAAAAACTCATAGCATAACGAATTTCAGATTTCAGCTTACTCAAAGATTTCAGAACAAGAAAGAGAAGCTTTCTTGGAGGGAGAGAATGCGCCATCAGACAAATGGAATCTCGTCTATTGGATCGTGCTTCTCCATGGAATCGGAACGCTCATGCCCTGGAATATGTTCATCAACATTGCACCCTCGGTTAGTAGAACTGAAAAATCAAAATAAAATTCCCAAGTTGGCCAATAGCCAGACTACAGCTCCAAGGCAGATTGTAGCAATAAACATCCGAGCGAAAAGAGCAAAAAAATCGTTTTCCATTTGATTTTCATCTTCGAATGTCCATTCGATGCAGAAAAATATGCTGAAAATGAATCTAAAAGAGTTTTTGAAAGCCGTTTTGTCGTCTTGATCCATTCATAACTCATCTATATCAAAAAAATCGCAACAAAAAAGTGATAACGATTAAACTAGGGAATCTTTCAAGCATTTTGATACCAAGAACATGCATATCGACTGGAGACGCAAAGTTGGAGATTTGCGATAGGTTAGATTCGGGATAGCTTAGATTCGGGATAGCTTAGATTCGGGATAGGTTAGATTCGGGATAGTTTAGATAGGGATAGGTTAGATTCGCGATCGGTTAGATTCGGGATAGGTTCCCCTAGAACCTACAAAATTTTCATCTTTTTGTAAAGTTCATGCTTCTGAGTTAAATGGCTCCATAAAAAGTCGGTTTTTCTGAAAAGTCTCACTCACGTTGCTCGCTTTAAGGCGTACAGACGCTAAATCTGTATTCGGTGAAAGCCGATCGGGGCTTCGAATCCCTACCGTGGGAGAATTTCTTTTGCGCTTCTGATTCTCTGGGTGAAGAAAACTGCTTCAAATCATGAACTTTGCTGGCTCTAAAGAAATTTCAGTACCGTAAAAGCTGTAATAGTAGCCCCGGGGGCATTATTTTTCAATCAATTAATATATCAGTTTCGAATTCTTCTACACATATTTCTGTTTCTTGATGAAAATTGAGAGGTTTTTGCTGAAGTAAGCGGATCCAAGAGCTCATCGTTTTTTTTTCGACATGTGCGACAGTAACTGTAGTCCTGTAGGAATCGAGCTATCGGGCTTCAAACAGTGAATCAGTTGGTCGCCGGCATCACTTGAATCGTTGTTAAGAACACAGCTTTCGGAGGATCGACGAATGACTTCTTTCGAGATCCCAATATTGGGATTCGGGATTGAATCCCAAGCATCGGCAACCGATTTTAAGTAGATGTTCATTCCAGGGGCCTTTGGGTTTCCACCTTTTGTGCGTGCAGGTGCTTGCAGCAAAATCCAATTCAAAATCCAATTCAAAATCCAATCCAAATCCAATAAATATTCAGCCAAAAGCAGATGCAAATTTAGCGCGGGGGGGCTACTATTAGTGGGGATCACTATTTTTTCGCTGGCTCCCTGGGGGACCTACTATTGGAAGGGGGCAACTATTGCAGCTTTATCCAATTGAGCTTTATCTACTATCCAATTAAGCCCAAAAAAATCACCATTTTCAGTACTACGTTCAACACAAAATGGTCGAAATCGGAACTGGACCCAATGGCACTAATGTGCCGACGTGGTATTCCGATAACTTCATGCACTATCTCGGAATCTGCTCACAGGTTTGATTTGAGTCAACAAATAAGTCTCAGTTTTGATCTAGGTGCCAAATCTCTTGCTGAACTTGATCAACATCTTTGTGCCGGTCAAGTAAGTGAAAATCTTCTTTACCTAGCCTCAAAATTCGATGAATTAGATGTGATGTGAGTCCAGAAACTGATGTTAGAGATGGCCTTAAGTTAAAGAATTGATGTTAGAGATGGCTATAAGTTAGATTAATCGAATTAGACAAACTTGAGAGTATCCAAACAGCCTTGTACAAGTTGATTTCAGAGGAGAGCTCACCCCGAGAATCACCATCTCGTTGGCTATCGTTGGTGGTGTTGTCGCGTTCACGGATGCCTTTGTCTACATTGACACAAACACATGTAAGTCCAGAAAAACGGTTAATTGGTGTTAATCATGATCTTACAATGTTAGTGTTAGTTAATGGCTAAAGTAAGAAAGGATCTTTAATCAATGCTTTCTTCAGGGATCTCCGGCTTCTTCTGGTTGACAATGTTGTCAATCGCCGTGCTGAACGGAGCGAACGGTGTCTATCAGAATTCGATCTACGGCTTGGCTTCGGATTTCCCCTTCAAATACACAAATGCTGTCATCATTGGAAACAATCTTTGTGGAACATTTGTGGCTATCGTTTCGATTGTGGCTGCTTATTGTGAGTTTTGGAGAACTTGGAACTTATACAATTGTAAATTCTTTCCCGGGAGCCAGGGCTGTTCCTTTTCCAAGCCAGGTCAAGTCAGGTTAAGTAAAATCCAAGCCACGGCTTTGGTTTTGACTTTCCTTGGCCTAGCATGGGTTTTGGTTTATATTAACAGCCGTACTTTAACCTTTATTGATTATAGTACGGCCGTACTATAACCTGAATTATTATTAGTATGTAGATTATAGTATTAGTAAGCGTTAGACCTCATCTACTTTGCCAGAAAACTTCAATGCAACTTTTCGTAAAACAAGCATTACTCTAAACTTTGACTATCTAAAACTAAACTATCTAAATATCACGTGGCAGTCAACTTTGTATCTGTGACTTTCTTCTAAAAACAACTTTCAGTGACTGACAGCAAGACCTATCAAGCATTCGGCTACTTCACCGTTTCTCTCATCACCATTGTTTGCTGCTTCTTTTCGTTCTTCAAATTGAGAACCTTGGTAAATTTAGAAGATTTAGACTAGAAGATTTAGACTCTATTACTTAACGTAGTAACAAATCTTTCAAAACTAATTGATCTAATTGATCTTTCAAACCTAATAGATCTAATTAATCTTTCAAAACTAATAGATCTAATTGATCTTTCAGAACTACTATAAGTTCTTCTCGGATCTCGGCAATTTGAAGCGAGCCAAGGAGGACACTGGACCTCCAACAATGGACGACTACGTGGCTACGTTCAAACAGGTTAGAGCAAGAGTTTGATGGAGATATTTGCAGTAATCTAGTGCTAAGTATTGTTCGAATTTCTTCTTATAATTGTCTAGTACCTATAGCTTAAAGAAATGAAGAAATTGGCAAGAAAAAGTGGGGAAAATGGGGTTAAACCCTCAATCTTTTGCTTTCCGACATTTTGCTTTCCAATTGCTCTAACCACTGAGCTATCCGGTATCTTTATTTCTCAAATAAAGATACCGGATAGCTCAGTGGAAGAGAAAGAAGAAAAGACCAGGGGAAGAAGAAAGGAAGAAAGAAGCTTAAGCTTAAGTTGCACTTGTTTTGCCTTGCTTATGTTGAACTTGTTTTATCTTGCTTGTTCAAACCTCGAATTTAGCAACACTAGAATACCTAGAGCATTCTTTGTGATTTTAAAACTATCTTTTCAGGGCTGGCAACAATTCATGAACGTTTTCCTTGTCTTCTTTGTCACTCTTACAATCTTCCCGAACATCATGGTCTTCATCCGACCTTACCTCAAAGGAGGAGAATACAACTTCCTTCTTCCAGGTAAAATGTTTAGACAAGTACCAGAAAAGTTCTATATTAACTATAGTAATAAGTAATAAGTAATAGTAATAGTAATAAGTAATAAGTAATATTAACTAAGTAGATCTTCAGAATTGTATCTTCATTTTGATCTAGCATATATAAACCATTTCCCAAACTCAGAATCCCAATACATCAACTTCTGCGTTTTTCTTCTCTTCAACGTGTTCGCCTTCTTGGGAAGTTTGACCGCCAATCAAGTGCAGGTAAAAGACGCAGGCTATTTGCAAGGAAAAGCACTCAAACTGATCTTTTGACTTGAGATCAAGTCCATCTTATAAAGTCAGCCATGGAGATCTCGAATCCGTTTTTAGTTCTTGCAGAACACTTGATAGATCTCTAAATTTCGGACTCCTGAAGAAGACGTCAAACGCTCGCTTAACAATTGCTTCGGTGGTTGAGTGAATCTGCTAGACTGTCGAACCCATTGTATTTTTGGCCCCAAGTTCGAGTTCCAAATAGATTCGGTTTGGTAATAGGTAATAGGTTCGGTAGTCTAGCAGATTATCCACTAGACCACTGAAGTAGTCATTGGGAAAGCCTGTGACAACCACCTAAAGTGAAGCACGGTCTATGATGCAATTAAGCGCTACAAGGAACTTGAAAACACGTCTGAACGACAGGGAAGAGGTTATAAAACTGTTACGCCTGAGAATGTAAACAAGATTCGATGCAAAATCCGACAAATCCCAATTCGGTCGATCCGGAAAGATGGCCTTGAAGTTGAAAATCAGCAAGAACAGTGTCCGGAGAATGCTTCGGTGGTTGAGTGGATAATCTGCTAGACTGTCGAACTCATTGCATTTTTGTCACCAAGTTCGAGTCCCAAAACGTAATAGGTTCGGTAGTCTAGCAGTAGCAGTCTTCGGTAGCAGACTATCCACTAGACCACTGAAGCAGCCATTGGGGGAAGCCTGTGACAGCCTCATAAGAAACTCAAAATTCAAAGTGATTTTCTATGCCAAATATTCTGCGGTTGCGAAGCGTTCGGCAAAAACTAAATAAAGAATCGAGATCCCCGTGACCAACTTTATAAGATGGACTTGGTCTTTATAAGATTGGCCAAGGCCAAGGCAAAAGGCCAGCTTGACCCAGTGCCTTTCCCTAGTTAGGTTTAGTTAACTAATATTGTTAGTAGATTAGCTATGAGCCGGTATGCTAATCAAAGTTTTTAGTTCCCAAAACCAGAGGGTTTATGGGTGGCTACGTGGGCTCGTGTCCTTCTCATCCCATTCTTCATGCTCTGCAACTTCCGCCCTGAGACCCGCACTTGGGGAGTCTGGTGAGTAAAGCTATATAAGTCAATGACTTCCTTACACTTCCTTACAAAGATCAACTACAACGTCGTTTAGGTTTGAATCCTATTACTTGTACATCGTTGGAGCCATCTTGATGTCGTTCACCTCTGGATATCTCTCCTCATTGGGCATGATGTACGCTCCACGAGTTGTCGAGAAGTCAAAGGGAAGAATTGCTGGAATGATGGCCGCTTTCTTCTTGATTCTTGGTGAGTTAAATCAATCATTAAACTATCATAGTCATCATAAATATCAAAAGCAAATCAGTTAAGGCAAACCTTTACAAGATTTTAGACCTTGTATTGGGTTGGTGAATAAGTCTTGACCGCTTTTTTCATCCTTCCATTAAGAAATGAGCAATTCATCAATATACTTACTGTTTACTTTAATAAAAAAGCTTTGAGAGCTTGAAGTTTATTACTTGAATAACTATTTTTCTGCAAAAGAGCGTTAAAATCTTCAGAAAAGGTCTCAATTTCGGGATTTTTCCGGGGCGGGGATTTTTGGGTAGTCAAAATGACCGATAACGACCGAATTTAGGCACTTTTCTTCACAGAAACCTATTCTGATGTCAATAGATAAAAGATAGAGCACAAAAAGTTAGGTGTACGGCCAAATTTTCAAAGAAATTGATTCAGCCAATTTCTTTGTAGAACTTTTAAATCGGATTTCACCCAAAAACGCGTTTCTATGCTGAAATTTGCTTGGAAATGGGCGCAAATTGGTTTAAAAAGAAAGAAAATCAAACAATAAACACTTTCTGTTTAACTAGAACTATAGATCATTGGTGAAATAGTCATTTCTAGACGAAAGAATGAAAAAAGGTGTCAAGACTTATTCAACAACTCAATAAACCAACCAGAATTGATTAACTAGCCACATTGTCTTACTATTGTTTTACTATTAGGAAAAGAAGCCTAGATTTTTCAAATTAAGTTGTTAAGCTTTGAATTATTGAAGCTTTGAATTATTGAAAAGCTTTTCATGATCATGGCTAAAGTAGAATCAACTAACAGTAAACCGTAAAAAAAGCCAACTTGATTAGCTATTGGGTTGGTGAATTGAAAACTGCAGGACTTTGAACTAAAATATATTCAACATAAAACCATCAATTCATTCCAAATAATTTCCATTATTATTGACGACTTCTGCCCATTTTACAGGCAGTTTGCGGATTCCTCTTTCATAGTAGGATTTTGGTTTGTGTGTGAGACAAGTGTGAGACTCAAAAATGGAGGACCGGAGATGTCCCAGTTTGAGCACTTTCTCAAAAGAAATCCATTTTGGTGTCAATAGAAAAGTTGTAGAGAATCAAAAATTAGGCTTATAGCCAAATTTCCAAAAAGATACACTTAGTAGTTTCGCTTAAAATGCAAGTTTTGTGAAAATTCGTTTCTTTTGGCATTTCCTGAAAACCAGTTTTTGAATCGTTCTGAACATTTGCATATAAGCTTGATTTTTGATTCTCTACAACTTTTCCATTGACACCAAAATGGGTTTCTTTTGAAGAAAGTGCTCAAACTGTCACATATGACAATAGCCCGCAGTTTTTAATTCACCAACCCAATAGCTTCGGTCAAAAACAAGCTTTAAATTATTTCAAAACTGCAGATCAAGTCAAAGATTGTATTTGTTATACGTATCTATGTTAAACCTTCATTTTTTTTTCTTATTAATCGTACTTGTCAAGAATTATGCATTGGGATTCTCTCAGAAAATCTCAAAACATGAGAACTACAGTCAAAAATACTCACAGCTACAAACTCGTGCGTATTTCCGTTTGATCTTCTGATCCCTTGGAATTGTTGACTGAACGGGCCCTAGAAAAAGAAAACTAAATGAATCGTCTCGAACGTGATTCTTGAACTTTCACCAACCCAATATTTTGAATCTCACCTTTGATTTGAATCTGAAAAGTAAAGATTTGGTTAAGTTTTTTGAAGAGAAAATGTTCCTGAAACAGTTTGTCGGCCTTGGCTTACCGAAATACCTCAACAATTCCAATTTCAGGTATCGTTTCCGGCTTGTTCTTCACGATTTTCATCGCAAAACTCGTCGACAACTAAAGATTTGATACTTTTTCAGCCTTCAACTTTGCTCAATCACTAAATTGCCTTAATCACCTTCCTCAAGCAAATTTTCAACACTCACTTAGCCATACATTTGAGATTGCCTTAAAATCATTTAATATCATTGTCATTAATATCATTTTGCCAGTAGACTTTGGCCTTTTCTTGACAACGATTTGATCTTTCTCTTCTCCTTACGTGGTGCCTTTTCCTTGATTATTTCCTTGATTATTTTTCGATTTCAGGTCACAAGTTATAATATTTATAAGCTGATTTGTTTCAATAAATATTTGAAGAGAACACTTTTGATTGATTAAACAAAGCTGAGTTATTTGAAGTTGAATTGAACATATTGAACATACAGGATGTGCCACAATAACCCGGATCGATTTGAGATCAATCTATTTGAGATCTATCTATTTCAGACAATTTCTACAACACTCGTTGTATTATTTAGCGCTTATTATTTTGTTTTATCATATATTCTAATCTATTTTTGTTTTCAAAAATCAATTTTGCTTTTCGGGGTTTACCGTTCGCCAACAATGCATCGAGAAAAGATAAGAATCACAGTGATTGAGCTGTTCAAACGTGGGATCAAGCCAGTTAACATTGTTCAAACGTGAAATCAAGCCAGTTAACATTGTTCAAACGTGAAATCAAGCCAGTTAACATTCTTCAAACGTTGAATCAAGCCAGTTAACATTGTTCAAACAACCAGCTACAAGCGAAACACGGTCTATGATGCAATTAAACGCTACAAGGAACTTGAAAACAAGTCTGAACGGGAAGAGGTTATAAAACTGTTACGCCTGAGAATGTAAACAAGATCCGATGCAAAATCCGACAAAACCCCATTCGGTCAATCCGAAAGATGGCCTTGAAGTTGAAAATCAGCAAGAACAGTGCCCGGAGAATTTTCAGAAAGAAACTGAAGCTTTTTATCGAATTTCTCGTGTACACTTTTTGAACGATGCAACGAAAGCTCGACGTTTGCAACAAGAAAAAAGTATGCTTTGCTGGTGGTCGATTGAACAGTGTGCTTTTCACGGATGAGAAGTTTTTTTACAATTCTGCCAAATCATAACCGCCAAAATCATTGCCAATAGTTGAAAAAGGGCCTGAAGAACACATACATAGAAAAAGTTTTACTCGAAGACATTTTCCGTGCGCAATCATGGTGTGCGGAGAAATTTGCGCTACAGGAAAGGCTCCTCTGGTGTTTACCGATCAAAATGTAAAAATTAACGCGAAAACTTATCAGAACCAAAGCTTAAAAGATTTTGTTAAACCTTGGGCATCAAATCATTTTGGAAACACAGGTTTTACTCTTCAGCAAGATTGGGCACTTGTACGAATGACGCTTTAGCTTTGTCAACAACGTTTGCCTGCGTTTGGCAGTTTGGTCATCAAAAAAACAGTTTGGCCATCAAATTTGCCTGATTTTAATCCTCTTGATTAATCGGTATGGGAAAATCTTCAGCAAAAGCTTGAAGAGTTCTGCGAATTCTGCGTCTAACGACACCAAAAACATCAAAATCGAATAAGATTTGACTAATATACAAGTAATTTACTGAAAAATATGCGTGCCTTGGATTTTTTGTCATATCTCCGTCAAATCTTTTTCAATTTTGATGTTTTTGGTGTCTTTAGACGCAGAATTATACTCCGCGTCTAATGGCACCTAAAAAAGCTAAATCGAATAAGATTTGGCGAAGATATGTCCAAAAAAATCCAAGCCACGTCCCTTTTAGGCGAAATGACTTTTCGGCGAAATGGAGGTGAACCAAAATTGTAACCTGCTGTAAACAAAGTTGTACCCAATTCATTACTGAAGTCTTTACTTATCTTTGATACGTGAAGACAAGTCATTCGTCACAAGACAAGTCGTTTACTTGAGCTCTCGTCTTTTACATTCATTTTAGAGTAGTACTCAAATTGCTGCCAGAGACTTTCTATTGGTGGATTTTCTGAAAAGAACTTTCTTTTTTGACTGAAGCTTTTTGTAGTAGGCTATTTCTTTTTATTTATAGCTCAATCTCTTTAATGGATTTCTTAGATTCTTCTTGAGGTTAGTCAAAAAAAAAGGATTTGGCTCAAATTTCATCGAGTCTCACGCTTTTTTATGGATCTTGCTACCAAAACGTTTCCTTCAAAGCCCATTCCATCGACTTGGAGTCTAATTTTCTCAGTTTAAGATAAACAGTTGTCGAATGAACGATTTGTTGTCAAAACGACGCGCGGTGACGGAAAATGGAGTAATGAAGTCTTAGTTTGAAAACGAAAGCACTATGTTATAATGTTTCTTTGATGTTTACCATATTGTTTAAGCACAGAGCTTCCAGCTTAAAAAACTCACCATAATATCCTATGGCTTAAAACTATGCTAGCATTGATTTTATGGATCTAGTGGATTCAAGTTAGAGGAAAAAATGACTCTACTATGTATAAGAAATCAATAAAGGGTTTTGCTTAAATATTACCCTAGTTATTGGTCAATTTTTTTGGTTAAATGATAGTTTAGTGTACCAAGATAGTATTAAAATTAGAAATTAAACGATTCTAGTTTTTTACATGTAATAAGTCATCAAATTTCATGACAAAGCTTCTTTTGAGAGTCATTTCTTTTTAAAATCAGCATTCCAATACGTTTTTAATATAATTGCAGTTTTGAAATAGGTTAAAATGTATGAATTTGTTGTGTTTGTTTTGTATTTTTTATGTTTGTTCGATATTTTTCTTCAAAATTACTACTCTAGCCAACTCCTGCACTTTCCGAGCTAATGTGAAAGTAATTGCAAGTGTCGAGCGGAAAGTGGTAGATTTAAACGATTTCCCAAGCTTTGTATAGAAAAGAGAAGTGTGTTGATTCTTTGTGTGAAGGGTTTTCTATTCTTTCCCTTGTTTCCCCCGTCTTTCTCAACCTCTCTCGTGCCATAGATGAAGCGGTTGCTAGGCTCCGCTCGCTACCTCGTGGGTGGAGAAGGGAATCAATCGACACCTGCTCCTGTGATTTTTCCACATACAAATCCCTTTTTCGTAGTGAACGTTAGCTAATTGCGGATTGGTTCTTATTGGCCTATCGTTTTCTCATACAAAAATCGATACCTACTTAACTAGAGAAGAATACTAGTTAGGATTTCGGCTTTCATCGGATTTCGGCTTTCGTCGGATTTCGGCTTTCATTGGATTTCGGCTTTCATTGGATTTCGGCTTTCGTCGGATTTTGAAACGAGACTTAAGCCAGCCGATAGAAAATCGAATTCGAATTCGATTCTGAATTCGAATTCGATTCTGAATTCGAATCTGTAATCAAAATCTACTGAAGAGCTTGCAAACGCGAGATTTCTGGTATCAAAGTTTTTGCTAAACACTCTTGAGCTAAGTGTACGCTTTTCTTTATGCTTACGTTAGTTTACACTTCTCTTTCAACGGCTTCTCTTTCTCTGGTGGTGTAGCTGGTAGTGTGCTTGTCTACGAAATGAATCGAGTCTTTGTAGTGGGTTCGAATCTCCCACTTGACAAACTTTTTGCTTTTCATAAAGCTTTTCATGCTTTTCTTTTTTGGTTTTCACAAATTCTCATACCATTTTCTTATATTTTAATTAGTAAGAATCTATTTTTCGTAAGTAGTAAGTAAGTTTTTTCGATTTGAATCAAGTTGAATCGATCCAGGTGCCTTTCCTGAATAGCTTTCTCTCTTGATTTGCGAACAGCTCTTTTCTTTTCTTGCATAAATGTTCTTGACGATTAGTTCTTGATTAGTAAGTGGTTCACGTTATATTAAATCTTGTATATACTGTATCTACATCTTGTAATCAACTCTAGCTTTTGGATTAGTTGAGCCGATTCAATTCTTGGTCTTAGTCTAAAAACAATTCTTGCGTGTTTTTATTTCACCAAATTTCTGCTGATCAGTTCAATCAATTCTTTAATAATTCACCGACGAATCGAAAGTCAATCTTTTCGTCCCGGATGGCAATCATTCGATACGGAGACCAGTCGGACAACGTTATAACATCAAGACTTGCGTCCTACAGTTAATGCAATTTATTTTGTATACTCAAGTGTAAGAACATAGAGAAAATTTGAGTCAAAGTTGAACTACCTACCTGGAACAGTTGATCAAATTAGATGGTCTATAACTCGAGGCATAGAAGCTGAAGTCTTGGTCTTGGTCTAAAAACAATTCTTGCGTGTTTTTATTTCACCAAATTTCTGCTGACCAGTTCAATCAATTCTTTAATAATTTTTTTAATCTTTCTATAAGTTTTATTATAGTTTCATTATCGTTTCGTTATCGTTACATTATCGTATTATGTTTTTCGTAGTTTCATTGTCATTTCATTATCGTTTCATTATCGTTTCATGATCGATAACTTTTCAGAATGAGAGAGATCGTTCACATTCAAGCCGGTCAATGTGGAAATCAAATTGGAGCGAAGGTTTGTTTGTTATAATTTAACTTATCACTATCATAGTTAACTTGCCTTCTTTAACTTCATTTTTATTGCTATTTAGTTCTGGGAAGTGATCTCCGATGAGCACGGGATCGACCCAACTGGCGGATACGTTGGAGACTCGGATCTGCAACTTGAAAGGATCAACGTCTACTACAATGAGGCTTCAGGTTATCATAAAAATAGATTCATAATCAAAATTTTAGGAGGAAAATACGTTCCCCGAGCCTGTTTGGTCGATCTTGAGCCCGGCACAATGGACTCGGTGAGAGCTGGACCCTTTGGACAACTCTTTCGGCCAGATAACTTCGTTTTCGGTGAGCAATTGGCATTTTGTTGAACGTCAATTGAGGATTTAACTTCTTTTTTAAAGCAATCTATTCTAAAATAAGATTTCAGGTCAATCCGGTGCTGGAAACAACTGGGCAAAGGGGCATTACACAGAGGGAGCTGAACTCGTCGACAATGTGCTTGATGTAGTGAGAAAAGAGGCTGAGAGTTGCGATTGTTTGCAGGTTTGTTAAGAACGAAGATTCGGATAAAAGAAAGCTTAAAAAGTCTTCGAAAAACATTTTTCATACTTTCAACTCCTCCTTTTAGGGCTTCCAAATGACGCACTCGCTTGGCGGCGGCACAGGATCAGGGATGGGTACATTGCTGATTTCGAAGATTCGTGAAGAGTATCCTGATAGAATTATGATGACTTTTTCAGTGGTACCATCACCAAAAGTGAGTCCTCTGTGAAAGGTATTTAGTTTAAAATTTTATTCACACGAACAATGTGATACAAACAATACACAAGCATAACCCCTAAGCCCTAAATGTAGGGAGAAACCCATACCGTATTTTCTCTAAGAGTAGTGCACCCCGGCGAGCCGAGTTGATGACAATTTTACCGTTTCGAAGTTTTCGCAGAAGCTCAACACTCTAATCCCCCACTAGATCTCATCGTCAGCTACATTTTCCAACCACACATCGATAGGTTCTGATAAGTGGTTCTCGAGATTTGGAGCAATTTAGGCGACTCTCAAGGTTCACTACTTTTAGAGAAAATACAGTATATATGTTACATTCGAATCCAAACAGTTGTCGTGTTCCGAAAATGACGTCAGAATCCGAACACAATCTCCATTATGTTCGGATTGGGAAGTCGCCTATAAAAATATCATATTATATGCGTCTATAATATTACCAGCTGCGTTAGCCAGCCCCTACCTTTGCTTTGCTAAAATTTACATTAAATTCCTCCTCTTAAAATGCAACTTAAAATGCAACAAATGCGTTATTACAAATTTTAAAGCCGAATAACTAATTTAAAATTACATCTTGCACAACACATAAAAGCATACGTTTCACAATTCAAGGCTTGTAAAGTTAAAATATAGCGAATTCGAGCGATTAAACATTAAAACAGAACGATTAAACAGCTCCTTGACATGAAAACTCCATAACAAGTCGAAAAATTAAGGAAAGTATCAAGGTTCTTGAACAGAACGCCGAATTGGCTACTGTTTATTTCAAATCATATCATCATTAGATCATAAATCTAGTGCTTAAATCACAAATCGAATGCTTAAATCGAATCAGATAATGTAAACGTATTTCAAACTACTTTAAAAACTGATATGATCACTTTTGCCAAACGAAACTTGTAAGTCTAAAGAAACAGCTAATTCTCTTAATGTTTAGGTATCCGATACCGTCGTAGAACCATACAATGCTACTCTTTCTGTGCATCAACTCGTCGAGAACACAGATGAAACATTCTGCATCGATAATGAAGCTCTGTATGATATTTGCTTCCGAACACTGAAGTTGACCACTCCAACTTATGGAGATTTAAACCATCTCGTGTCGATGACGATGAGTGGGGTGACCACTTGTCTTCGTTTCCCTGGTCAAGTGAGTACCAAACAATGTTGAAAATCAATCTAAACCAACTTTAGTTGAATCTAAACAAAACAAAACAATCTAAGCCAGTGTTAGTTGAATCTAAACTAAACAAAACCATCTAAACCAGCTTTAGTTGAATCTAAACTAAACAAAATAATCTAAACCAAATTTAGTTGAATCTAAACTAAACAAAATAATCTAAACCAAATTTAGTTGAATCTAAACCGACTTTAGTTGAATCTAAACCAGCTTTAGTTGAATCTAAACTAAACAAAACAATCTAAATCAACTTTAGTTGAATGCCGATTTGCGAAAATTGGCTGTGAACATGGTACCGTTCCCGCGTCTCCATTTCTTTATGCCCGGCTTTGCTCCACTTACATCAAGAGGATCACAACAATATCGGTAATTGAAAATGGACTCTGGAGTTTTTGTGTTGTGTAATAACTAAATAATTTGTGTACTTTGTGCTTAAAAGTAGAAACACACCGTTTCTGGTCGAACAAATCTTTATTCTCTTACATGAATCGGAGGCTTTGTGTTCAAAAATCCTTGATGCTAGCAGATAGGGATTTTTATTAGGCTTTCCAGAAAGTGTTTCGTTCATTTTCGTACTTTCATTGAAGAATAGCAAATTCACGAATTAACCTATGGTTTCCTTTAAATAAAAAGTGTTTATTGCTCGATTTTCAATCTTTTTAAGCTAGTTTGCGTTCACTTTCAAGCAAATTCGAGAATAAACTTTGACTAGTTCAAAGTTATCAAAGTTTTATTAAGAAAAGAAATTAATTTTTGAATTTTAATCAGTTTGTATCAGTTTCAGCAAAGGTTTGAGCTTGTAGAGTTTCTTGAGAAAGACAAATTTAGACTAGTCTAGTCTTTATTTCAAATCTAATCGATCTAATATCATTTTTTGAGTATAAAATACCGAAAGTACTGCTAAAAACTAGTACTCTAGACTAGAGCTAGTTTTATTAATCACTTATCTTACTGGTTTTTGATATTCAGAGCCCTGACTGTACCCGAGTTGACCCAACAAATGTTCGACGCCAAAAACATGATGGCCGCCTGTGATCCAAGACACGGACGATATTTAACCGTTGCCGCAATGTTTAGAGGAAGAATGAGTATGAAGGTAGGATAAATTTCAAAACTTTCTATTTATTCAATCTTTTAATCCTCTATCAACTACCCTACCTCAATAAGTTGTGCTTTAGGAAGTCGACGAGCAAATGCTAAACGTTCAAAACAAAAACTCGTCCTATTTTGTGGAATGGATCCCGAACAATGTCAAGACTGCTGTAAGGTTTTAAAAACAAAGTTTTACTTCAGCTTTTGTTCTTATTTTTATGTTTTTATTCTTATTTTTATGTTTATAGTCTTATTTTTAGGTTTATATTCTTGTTTTTAGGTTTATAGTCTTATTTTTATGTTTTTATTGCTTTCAGGTGTGCGACATTCCGCCAAGAGGAGTGAAAATGGCGGCAACTTTTGTCGGCAATTCAACCGCTATTCAAGAGCTCTTCAAACGAATTTCCGAGCAATTCACAGGTAGTTGACAAATGTTGGGAAAGATTTTATAGAGAAAAAGAAAACATTTATTCACACGAATATAAAAAATACACAAGCACAGCCCAAGCCCTAAATATAGGGAAGAAAAAAGCCCATATACATATATAGGGAGAAAAAGAACCAAAGTTTTTTGAAATATCTCTAAAATTTTATGGGAAAGCTTTACTCATTTTTTACGAGTAATTTCTTGGAGTCGTTTTGTAAATAGTAGAACAAAATGGGCTTGAATTGATGAATTCGTTTTTAAGAAATTCTGGTTCAAATTTGTGCAAAGACTTTCTTGTGAACCTGGTAATATTCCAATCAGAAATGGGAGAATTCCCATTTGTAACCAATTTTCTAGAGATTTTTTGGTTGTTTCTTCTAAAATTTGGTCTATAAGTTGTAGCTAATTGTAATCTGTAGCTAACTATAATCTGTTGCTAACTGTAATCTGTAGCTACAGTACTGGGCAATGAAATATCATATATTTGAAAAAAGATCGTCACTTTCGCGCGTCTGTAACTCCCTTGTCTTTGAGTTTAAACTATTAGTGCTATACATTTTCTGAAAGCTCTTTTCAAGGGCTACACAATGGTAATATTAGCATTTAGAAATACCGTATTTTTTGACGCATTTCAGCGCGCGCGAAAGTGACGATCGTTTTTCAGTATCATATTTCATTGTCCAGTACTGTATATGGAACAAAAAGAACCAAGAATCTAGCTGGCGGGATTGAATTCTTGATCTCTTGACTAAGATACAGGGCTCTTAGCCAGTCTGCCATGACAGAAAAGGAATCGAAATAAATAAAGCTAATATCAATGACGTTCAAATTTGTTCAAATTTGCAGCGATGTTCCGGCGAAAGGCTTTCCTTCATTGGTACACCGGTGAGGGGATGGACGAGATGGAGTTCACCGAAGCCGAATCGAACATGAATGATCTTGTTTCCGAATATCAACAATATCAAGTAAATAGCTAAAACTTTGTTTGTAGTCAGAGACAAGAGAAAATTATGAAAAAATTTGCATATTTTTGTTAGCAGTTTAGAATTCGGAATCGATTTTGAATATCAATAAAGTTGCAAAGAAATTAAAGTGATTATTTAAGTGATTTCAAGTTCAAATCAAACAAATTGAGATATAAAAACAAGATTGGAGGTGTTGAATTCTTTAATTTCAGGATGCCACTGCTGATGACGAGGGAGAGTTCGAGGCCGCTCACCACGATGTTGAGTAAACCAAAAGAAGCCATTTTTTCTACGATTCACCTTTCTAATATCTATTCGAATTTGTTCCTGATAAGATTTGACTTTATTTGTATCGATTTTCTTTCTCATTTTGCTTTAATATCGATTATAATTCCGATCTCCAGCTAGCCATTAGCGTTTATCACTTTTTCGCTTTTTATTGTTTCCAAATTTTCTTTAAACTCGAATAAAGTCTGGTTTTAAGTACTTAAAAACTACATTAAATATTAGAATTTTCAAATTTGCACCCAAATTCCTAAAATTTTGAGAATTTTGGTCGTAACTTAATCTCTAGAACGCTTGAGTTTCCCTCCATTTTTGCCATATTTGCTCTCCAGAGAGAATGGGTCGAATGCTTCGTCATTGATGGGAAAATGCCTGCAAAATGTTAAAAGATTTGAAAGGCTTTGTCTACGTTACATAGTATTATCTGAATTAAGCCTTTGCTATTCGATTTTGCTTTTTGAATGAATTTTACTCGATTTAAGCCTATGTTTGAAAAGTTTTCAGAAATTTTAAGCGATTCTACAGTTTTTTTATGTTCTAATAGATTAAAATTACTTAAACTCATAAAGAAAGTGATTCAAATGACATTTTTTTGGATAAGCCATGACCAGGCCAGCTTCCGACCTTGCCTGACTTGATTTGGCCGTCTCTAGACAAAAAAGGCCTAAGGCCCGGCTGGAATCTCTCTGCTCCATTCTACAGGGCGACCAAGAACTACCGCAACAACGTCGTGTTATGTTATGAGCCCCATTTCGCTTTTTGCTTACCTGTTTCTATGGTTTTTGTGTATTTTTCTTATTTTTTCTGGGTTGGTGTATTGAAAACTGCGGGCTATTGTCATATGTGACAGTTTGAGCACTTTCTTCAAAAAAACCCATTTTGGTGTCAATGGAAAAGTTGTAGAGAATCAAAAATCAAGCTTATATCCAAATTTTCAGAACGATTCAAAAACTGGTTTTCAAGAAATGCGAAATTTACGAATTTTCACAAAACTTGCAACAAGACTTGCATTTTAAAATAAGCACTGACTTGCAAAATAAGCACTGACTGACGAAAAGAACGCTTATATTGGGTTGGTGAATTGAAAACATCAAAGCCATTTCGATTTTTCTTTACATGATTTGTTATTTTTGTTTTTATTGTATCGTTATTGTTGCATATTGTTACTTATTGTTGCTTATTGTTGCTTATTATTACTTACTTTTAAGCTTCAAGCTATTCTATTGGGTTGGTGAATTGAAAACTGCGGGCTATTGTCATATGTCATTTGAGCACTTTCTTCAAAAGAAACCCATTTTGGTGTCAATGGAAAAGTTGTAGAGAATCAAAAATCAAGCTTATGTCCAAATTTTCAGAACGATTCAAAAACTGGTTTTCAAGAAATGCGAAATTTACGAATTTTCACAAAACTTGCAACAAGACTTGCATTTTAAGCGAAACTACTAAGTGTATCTTTTTGAAAATCTGGCTATAAGCCTAATTTTTCATTCTCTATAACTTTTCTATTGACACCAAAATGGGTTTCTTTTGAAGAAAGTGCTCAAACCGGGCTGACAGCTGACATCTCCAGTCCTCGATTTTTGAGTCTCACACTTGTCTCACACACAAACCAAAATCCTACTACGAAAGAGGAACCCGCAAATTGCCTGTAAAATGGGCAGAAGTCGTCAATAATAATGGAAATTATTTGGAATGAATTGATGGTTTTATGCTGAATAAATTTTAGTTTAAAGTTTCGCAGTTTTTAATTCACCAACCTAATAGACCAAAAAAAGGCCTAAGGCCCGGCTGGAATATCTCTGCTCGATTCTAAATTCTAATTTCTAAGCAAAAAGTCTATTTTAACTATTGTTTTATTGAGAAATCGAATTGCTTTATGAAGAAAATACCCATTATCAGTGCTCTGAGATTTTTCAAATCCAAACTCCCCTAATTCACCCCAATTCTCATCAGTTCCCAGAAACTTGATTCTCTGGAAAATCCCATCAAATTTACATTTCCATTTCCAATTTCCAATCCGACATTTGTAATCCTTTTCCAATCCCTTTTCTTCCCGATTTTCCGTTTTCTACTCTGAAATTTCCTCTTTTAGCTGACCCACTTCCCTCTCAAAATAGCCTTTCAATCGAACTTTCGAAAAAACAAGAATGACTCAAAGAGTGCGATCCTTTAGAAGTACATTGCTGTGTCCGTTTGACATTTTAATTCCTACGATTTTTACTCTAGTTTTGAAATTAACAACTTTGTTTTATTCCAGTCCTAAACTATCTTGCAAATGATACATTTTTTTAATGTTTTTTTGAAACTTGTCGATTTCATTTCATTCCAATACCAGTTCAAGCGATAAAATAAGAAAAATGATTGGGTTCTTTTAAACCAAAACACTTTCCGAACTTTCTTTGTACAGAGTTTCTTTGTACGCGACTTATGGTGACACCCTTTTTTGGAAAAGTTGCTGGCAAACGCCTAAAGTGTCAAAAATCAAAGATCCCCGGAGAGAAGCCGACTTGAGCTGACTCAAGAGCTTGTAAAATGAGTTGTATGATTCCAATCTGGAAATTCTTTATAGATACATGATTACAAGATTAAGGGCTTCATTTTTCTATATAACACTTGACACTTTTGAAATAAATTAGGCATTTCCTAGCAAATTTCCAAAAAAGATGTAACGATGATTCGCGGTAAATTCCTTGAATGTGCATTTTTGATGACAAATGAGTATGTTTCAATCGGTATACTACCGTAAATACTGTCGGTATACCCACCCCAGAATGACGATGCGGAGCGTTGCGTAGTCTAACTTTGGACGCGTTTTTCTCGACACTGGCTTATGCTACAATGCGCGCTTAGGCATCAAAAAATAGCCCTGAATTTCAGCTAAACATTGAGCTGATAGAACTTTGGCTCAAAAGAACTCAAAGTTGAGTTGACTTGAATGATCAAAAAGTTTCTTCATCATTTGATGTCAATAAAAGTTGCCCTTACTTACTGGCTCAATAAAAGTTGCTGGCTTACTTTTCTTACTCGACTCTGGCTTACTCTAAGATTACTTTTCTTAAGTTTCTTAAGTCTCTTAAGGTTTTTCTTTTTCTTAGGATTACTAGAAGATAACTTTTGCATTCTAACCAAACAGATAGCTGCTCTGGTGCAGAAATTTACATGGAAAAGCCATTTCATATGCATTCACATCGAGTAGTAGCATCTCTTGTGCATCTCTTACCTACCGTAAATACTGTAATATTACCCCACCCTCATAATGACGGTGCGGAGTGTTGCGTAGTCTAGCGTTGAACGAGTTTTTCTCGACACTGGTTTAAGCTACAATGCGCGCTTAGGTATCAAAAATAGCTGAAATTCAGGGCTATTTTTTGATACCAAAGACGCATTTTTTGAAAGTATGGGTGCTTTGAAAAAAATTAAATAAAAAAATTTTGCGACTGTACGAGGCGGGTGGGGTACTATTACAGTATTTACAGTAGGTACATTCCAATCTCAATTCCATAAGGATTGCCGTAGCGGTTAGCCGATAGCCGTTAGCCGTTAGCTGTTAGCCGTTAGCCGTTAGCCGCTTTTAAGTGAAAAGTTACGGACGAAGATCGACAAATTTCATGTTTTTCTTTTTTCTTTGCAACTTTCAATCTAATGAGCCTAATGAAATCATTCTAGAGAAAAAAATTGCTGAAAAACGTTTGGCCTTTGGATGAGCTTTCTTTTTCTAATCGTCTTTCAGTTTTTCGGCCTTTTCCCCCTTCTTTTTTTGCCCAACCATCACAGGGAAATAGGTAAATAGAGTGGGAAGAGAAGAAATACAGGTGAAGGTGAGAGTGAAAAGTTGGTAAGAAATAAGTGATAGACTTTAGGAATAGGTAGCTTCGTTAGAAAGGGTAGAAATAGAACAAAAAGAACTTGGATCGGTAAATAGAGTTTGAAATTTTCGATGGAACAAGAGTTTAGAGATGGAAAAAGTTGAAAAGATTCGAGAATTGAGCGAGATTTTGTAGGAAATTCTCGAGAAATATTGTAGAAATAAGAATTTCTCTCTTCTTTTGTTGAAAAATGAGCCCAAAGACCCTCAATGTACCCGAGATTCGATCGGTGAGTCGATTTTTTCGACCCACTTCTTTACTCAAACATTTTCATGCCGGGGATTAATTCTCAATTTTTTTTTGATTAGATTTTTATCTTTTTGCAATTGATCGATGGGCTTCTCATTTTCTGGAGCTGGTTTCTCATTGATCATTGATGGATTTGTTTGCTAACAATTGCTAGACGAGTAAAAATAGTTGTTGGATATCGATTGACTGTGCAGAGCTTGATTAGAGAGTCGAAATTATGTCAGATTATCAATCTTTTAGCTATTATACTAAAGCTATTAGGTACATGCATAAGAAATGCGGATTTGAACATTTTCATAAATTTCCAACGATAGAAACCTGATATCGATGAATGTTATAAACTATTTGAAAGTTGTAAATCTCCTCTACAAACGGGCGATTAGGGAACATTATAAAACAGCGGCTCAAAAAAAAGACTTAAAGGGCGTCGAACCCCCGACCTACAGCTTTGCATTCCGACACTTTATCCGCTACACTACACAACCCTTTCTTTGTCGCGCGCGCAAGCATTAGAAGAGAGGCTAAAAAGTTGTCTGCCAAATTCCTTGTGATTCCGACCTATTTAACAAAAACGGACAACAGATTCGGAATCAGCGTAAAATTCTGCATCGGATGGTCTAGTTCTCATTTCGATTGGCCACCTTGATTTCGTGACCTTCCCTTGTTAGTCAAATTTAGTCTACTGAATTAACAAGCGGCTGCATTTAAGTCCAATTTAATCATTTGATTGTTCATTTTAAAGAATCACCTTTTATTTCCACTTATCATATTGTCTTTTCTTTTTTTTTGGTGGATCTTGTCATTTGATTGTCATTGATTTTTTGGTTTGTAAGAAGACTGTTTACTTTCCAATCTTTTTTCTGAAGCTTTCTCCTTACTTTATCGTGATATCTGATCAACAATCGACAAACTTTTCTCAAATTGATGTGCAATCTGATCAACCAACTTGAAAACAATAGTTTTATTCAACTTGCAAAAAGTGTGTTTCTTTTAATGAATGGAAAAGAGACGCGAAAGTCTGGCAACAAATAATTAAATAGAGAAAACAACGTTAAAGATATTCAGTCGACGGATTAAATGTTTTACAACAAAAATCGGCAATAAAAAGGGTAATTGATTGTTTTAATTGATGGGTATTGATGGTGATATTGATTGTTTTGATTGGCAAATTTAAATTTGCTGTTGAATAGTAGGCATAGGGCGTTTTAAAAAGTTATGTAGTTGGTCTAGTTTTCACCGGGTTTGAGTAGGAATAGCCAAATCTGAGACTTCTAATTGAATTTCAACATCATAATGAACTCCAGAGCTATTTGATTCAATGTTTACCGGATTTGAATAGGAATAGCAAAGGTTGAAAGAGGTTAGACTTCTGTAGCCATGTAGAAGTCTAAAGTAGAATAGAAATAGTCAAGCTTGGAAAAGATTAGACTTCTGTAGCCATGTAAAAGTCTAAAATTATCCAAAAATTTTAAAACTCTAGAATGTTTTTGTGCTTTTCCTCTTATACTTATCAACAATTGTGAAACTTTTTTGAAATCTAGTCTTTCATTCAAAAAGTTCCCGCAGAAGTTCCCACTAATCTTGTGAACAAAGTAAATGAGAACAAGTGCAAGCAAGCGGTTCAAACTCTTCACAAATACAAAGATCTTCTTCACACACACAATAGTTACCAGTTTTTTTTTTTCAAAACCAGTTTTCGTGTAAAGATAGATGGGTTTCTATCCCCTTTTCTTTTCCAGAATGCACACCCACTTGATTCTTGACAAAAGAAATGGAGTAATAGTTTAGATTACAGCTAAAGAAATTTATGTTTTGTTTTTGTTCATTCAGAATCTAGAATTCAGTGTGTTCCTTTCTTTTTAAAAGATAGATAATTTGAAAAATTCTAGATTTTTTCTGTTCTACTTAATCTTCACAATTCACAGTTTGATTTCTCTTCAAATGAGATCATAATAGATCATCGGCTTTTTATCGGCCCTTTTCGTGTTATGTGTATGAATTCTAGATCTTGGTTTTGAAGCTCTAGTGGATCGTTATCTGTGCTACCCATATATTACATATATTATATCGTGTGGCTTTTTATCGGCCCTTTTCGTGTTATGTGTATGAATTCATGTGTATTAATCTTAAATCTAGCGCACTTTATCTCAGGTCCTGAATAAAGTATATATATATATATATATATGTCGTAGCCGCTTACGAAATTCAGCCGCTAACGAAGCGGTTAGCCGATTACGAATGATTCGTTAGCGATAGCCGATTACGAATCATTCGTTAGCGGTTAGCCGTTTACGAATGAAATTTTTTCACAAGTTACCTTTATGCACAAAGGCCTGATGAGTAAAAGTTTAGAAATAAGATCGCTTACAGTTTCCCGGTCTACAGCTGACGGCTCATCATCGTCTGGGAAGAACTCCGGAGCGTCGAGGCTCGCTCTATCTAAATCGAATAAGCCGCTAACGAATCATTCGTTAACGGCTGAATTTCGTAAACGGCTACGACATATATATATATATATAATATATAATTATTCGACACGAATAATGAATTACAACACAACGGAGGAAATCTTTACCCCTAACTACCCTAAATGTTGTTAAGAAAAAAACCCATAATAATGGGAAAAAGAACCAATCTTTCTAGCCGCCGTGATCGAACCCTTAACCCCCCGACTAAGAGACAAGACTCCTATCCGGTTGGCTACGACGGCTATGAGCTATGAATAGTGAACTAAATCAGACAAAATGTGAAGAAAGATTACGATAATTTTTTTGAAATTATCCATTTTTAATCTAAGAAATTGCATAAGCTTATCTAAGATTAAGCTTTTTTTTACAATCAAATTATTAAATGTGTTTTATTTCAGTTAAAATCTAGATTCACTCTTGTCCATTCAATATTTTTGGCCTACTAGTGAAATAAAATACTTTGGTTTCTTTCGATTCCTCAATGGCTGACTTTTCATTTTATTTTTCTCTTACTGACGTGCTCTTTCACCAGTTTTTTTATTCTTTTCTATTCTTGTACATTTCTAGAAACGAAAATATCTCTAGTTAATGCGCTCAGTGCTGCCATGGCTGATGGTAGCCGGGGTGACGTCATATCCTCCCGACTACGGCTATCCACCCGATGAGCCACCACCGAATCGAGGGGGTGACCCACTGATCCCGCAATATTTGCAGGTACTCAAGGTACATGTATTTAGTTGTTTTTTGTTTTGTTTAAATGTACTGTAATAATTCTAATAGAAGCACAGTCTCTAGAAGCAACAATCCAACAACAATCCTCGAAATCTTGACTTTAAACCCCCCTTATGACCCCTCTATAAAAAGAACTAGATTTAAAACCTTCTAATAGAACTTTCTAATATAAATTTTCTAATATAAATCTCTAATATACCATCAGTAGTAAAATTAAAAAAATGGTTCTCAAAAAAATGCGAAAATGATTTTTTGGAAAAAAAATCGTAAGGGGACCACATGGATTTTTTTGGGAGAATCATCAATGGAGTCTTGAAAGGTATCTTCCAAGACTCCATTGATTCTAACGAGTAAAAGTCAACTGGCTGATCGAAAACGTTTTTCTGTAGGTTTTGGATCAAGCCTTATCAATCAACATAGTTTCTAAGAAATTCTAACGAGTGAAAGTCAACTGGCTGAGCTGGTCAAATGCTATTCAAATACCATCCGACGCAGAATTTGATGCTGATCCCGCATATATATTCGGTTTTTGCCAAATGACAATTTACTAGAAGTTATAAACGTTTAAAGTTTTGCTATGATTCTGAAAATGTGGTCATTTGGGCTTTAAAGTTTTTGTTAGGACTGTGCTTATTTCGGTCTTACCAACCTCCATGCGGATCCAATTCGGTGCAGTGGTACAGCTGAGTGATACAGCTTTGGTTTCCAAAGCAAGACCTCACACGTTCGATACCCACTTTGGTTTCTTCTTTTGCTTTGTTCATAACTCCTGGTAGATTGTCATTTGGCAAAAACGGAATATATATTCGGAAACAGCATAAAATTCTGCGTCGAATGGTATTGTTCGCATAGCATTTGGTCAGCTCAGCCAGTTGACCTTCCCTTGTAAATTTGGATACATTTGGTTCCCCCTTTTAATCGGTCGATTTTGGGAGATTGAAAAAATAAAAGCACATGTGCATACATTAGAATTATTACAGTAGTCTTTTCGTCGTTGTCAGCGATGGACATGTTCTTTTGGTGTACTTTGAAGTTTAAATGAAACAGATTCTCTCTAGCACAGTCACTTTATCAATGTTTAATCAAAGACAGTTTTTATTCGAAGCACAAAGTACACCGTTAAAGCATGGATGTGCGAATTCCTTGTTTTTCGGATGTTCTTTGAGCTCAAAACGGGAACAAAGTCTCTCTGGTGCAACAGTCAAAAGTTGCCATCACGGAAAAGTGAAGGCTTAGTGTGCAAAAAGAGATGTGTTTCGTTTTGAGAGCACAAAGTACACCAATAGAACAAGTCAATGCTATATATTGTCAAAAAGAACAATAAAACAAGAGAAATTGGGTTTCTAGAAGTAGAGATAGGCTACGAAAAAATCAGGTAGAGATAGACTACAAAATCTTACAAAATCTAGCACAGCAATGGTCCCTCTTTGACCTATGAACAGACCAATCCCCTTATAAAACAAAGATTTATTTGAATGAGTCTTTCTTTTTCTATCTTTCTATTTTTCTATTTTTCTATCTTTCTATCTTTCTATCAAACGGTTCAAGAAAACGAAGCTCTTTTTTGCTTAGGAGCAATGGGATCGGCAACAGCAGAACGAGACAAAGAGTGGCCAAAAAAAGCCGAGAGGTCGGAGACCCCCACCCAAATGGACCCCACCTCCAGATTATTGGAAGAGAAATGATGTGGGGAGTTGAAAGAAAAGAAATAGATTAGCACCGCTATCACGCAATTCATATCAAAACGCTTGGCTTCAATTTTACCTTTGTTAAACTAATCAAACCCCTCTGTTATCTGTTGTGTAACCAAATGATCACCAACAAGGCTAAGAGTCTATAGTTGCAGCAATAGTAGTTCCTGCATTGAATCCTGCATTGAATCCCGTATTGAATCCCGCATTGAATCCCGCATTTATTGAATCCTTAGACTCAAATTTAGACTCAGAATTTCAAAAGTTTCCAATTTCAAAAGTTACACTCGGGTCTTAAAAAGTTGCAAGACACCAAACACCAGTTCAATCCGCAATCAACTTGCCGTTTTCTAAGCAAATATTGTACAGACACATTTCAAAATAGTAACTGGACCTGATTGGGGTTTATTCAAAGCAATTTACAGCCCTTTTCGACTATTTTATTCTACAACTTTCAGTTTCTACAACAGTTTCTCCTTGATTTTAACAGCAAAACAAAGATTTAACAGCAAAACAAAGTGATTTTCTTTCAAATGGCAATCATTCTCCTTTTCATTTTCCAAATGCTTTTTTAGGGGGTAGGACAAAGGTGCACCTTTTTTTTGCGCACCCGACCAAAAGCGCACCTTTTTTTTCGCTGGAAAAGGCCTTAGAAAGGGCCGTAGAGCTTTAAAAATGTTTCCACATACGGGAATCATATGCGTAGATTCCGAATTTCGACAAATTAGAACTCGCTGGCACGTCAAATTTGGGCTAAGAGGCAAAAACTACGCAACTTAACGCTTTTCCGTAGTTTTTGCCTTTTAGCCCAAATTTGACGTGTTCTAATTTGACAGTTCTAATTTGTCGAAATTCGGAATCTACGCATATGATTCCCCTATGTGGAAACATTTTTAAAGCTCTACGGCCTTTTCTAAGGCCTTTTCCAGCGAAAAAAAAGGTGCGCTTTTGGTCGGGTGCGCAAAAAAAAGGTGCACCTTTGTCCCACCCCCCTTTTTTAAATTTTAAAAAGCATCGCCAAAAAGTTTTATTCTGTTTCAGGGTATCTTTAGAAAGGTAATTCTTAACTCGCAATAAGTTATAACTAAGTTCGTTCCTTGAGTTACAAATAGCCAATCTTCCCCACCTCCAAATGTTCTTGTCTCGTGGTTTTTGTGGTTTTTTTTTGGCTAATTTGCTCGTCGAATTAGTGTTCTGTCGCAAAATACTCACATGAATATTTGCGAATTTTCGGAAATCTGTTTGCCTAGACGATCGCCGATTGATTTCTTTTTTAAGTTTACCCCAAATCAACACACCATTCTTTTCCCCAAAATGTCTACATTTTTATTCACGAGTTGTTGACATCGAAACGTTTTCTGGCAAAACGTTTTCTTCGATTTCATCACACTCCACTAACCGTTCACCGTTTTCAGCAAGTCCTAAATGGAATGAGCCCTAATAATGAGAAAGATTCATCGGATGACAACGAATACCCGACACCCAGTGTGGAGACCCTCAAATCGGTGAGAAGCTTTTGTTTGTGTAACCTGCTTGGTTTAGTTACGAAGTTTGTTCAGTGTATTAATGTGCTGTAAACTCCTCCTGCTCTAAACTGTGACTTGTTATGGTCAAAACCTTACAGCTTATTAAGCTTGATAGGCTTGACTGTCGGGCCAACAACTCTTGAACTTGTACAAGATGCGGCATCTACAGGGTTTTCCAAAAAAAAGTCAGTTCAGCTCGATTTTTCTCGGAATTCCTAGTGGCTTCTGGAGGTTGTTGTGGTGAATATTTGGACAGGCAAATTTTTGATAGTCTTTCACTCTGTCCCGATTTCTTGACCGCCAATACATGAAATTTCTGAGCCACCATGGTCACCACCACCATATGGGCCACCACCATGAGACTCTTGCGCCATCATGCAAACTAAGATTTTCAACCAGACACTTTATCGGTTTAGAACATTCAGTAATCACTTGTACATAGAACTCTTTTAGCTCGCAATTTTCAAAGAGGCAACCAAGTTCTGCTACTAATCAATAAAGTGTTTGGTTGAAAATCTTAGTTTGCATTTTAGCTCTGATATGACACCACGATGCCAGTAGAAAGTTTTAATTTTATAGCAAAAGACTCATGGTGGTAGTCCATATGGTGGTGGTGATCAGAGTGGCTCAGAAAAAGAAATATAGAAACGTTATGAATTCGGGAAAAGGTGTCGATCGAAAAAGAGTCGAAAGACGATTTTTAAAGCCCCAAACTCGAAATTCATTGTTTTTCAGCGTCTTGCGATAGCATTTTTGTACTGCTCTCTTGTCAAAGTCATTAAAAAATGCTACAGTTCTTCTATTCTATGTGAGATTACTCGTAGATTTTATGATTAATTGTTGTTTTCCAATTAATTGTGGTTTCATGGTTAATCTATTGACTTCGAAAGCCAAAAAGATGCATCAAGTGCAATAATATATAAGCCGCACCCTGTCTAGGCTAATCTAACAATACGCTAGATGGCGAACATAAACTAGTGTATTGTTAGATTAGCCTAGATTAGATAGAATTGAAGAATATCAAGATGGAATATAAAGATGGAATATAAAGATGGAATATCAAGAATCAAGAATATCAATATGGCCATGAAATGCTTGAGCCAACAACTCTTCAACTTATTGCCTAGAGCCTAGACTTAAAGCCTATGCTAATCTAACAATACGCTAGACTGTAAACGTAAACTAAATAGCTACATACATTAGCTAAAAGATGAATACCAAAGATATCGTAAAAATTCTAATAAAAGGCCAGTCTCTAATAGAAGACCACCCCCTGACCCTATGAAACCGGGACTCTTTGAAACTTCTTTTTAAGTAGAATGGTAGATTTGGGTCCCGATAGAAGTATTTTAGCCTCGACAATAAAATTGAAAACATGATTTTGGGCTACACAATGGTAATATTAATATTTAGAAATACGGTAAAGACAAGGGAGTTACAGACGCGCGAAAGTGACGATCTTTTTTCAAATATGAGATTTCATTGTCCAGTAGTGTATCAAAACATTTCCTTGCAATACTTGCAAAACCTAGAATTAAACCAAAACCAAAACCCGAAACAAATTCTTCAGTTTATTAGGGCTTTTGCGTTGTCCAAAACACGCTTAACGACGCCGTGATCAAATAGATATCGACTTCGTTAGACCTGGTGTTTATCTAAGAAATGAGGAGAGGCAAAACGGCGAACAACGATCCCCAATCATTCAATCATTTGAACACAAAAACTACACTTTATCAAACGAGATATTGGAGCTGATATTAGCTGAATTTTTTTCGTGATTCATCCACATTCAGGTCAACAACCTGACACAAAACGTGCTCAACCGGGCCAACAGCTATTTGGACTCAATGTCAGGCATGGAGTGGGTTTCTCACTTTAAAATTGTAACCAAAATGCTTTATAATTTCTTTAAGAGTTTAAAAACTTTCAGCGATAGATACGGATCCACAAAACGTGATGATTCTAGCTATGGCTACTACACAACTCCGTCGTACGATTGGTACAGAGAACACGAGCCGCCAAAGAAGTCCTCACGATGTAGGCGATTAGTCCTTTTTTAACTAGAGCCTTTCTTCTTGCTTCCTAAAAGTCTTTCTTCTTGCTTCCATCAAAAACTATCGTAATCAATTCCCAGTCTTATCAAAATCAACTGCCGTTTTCAAGAAATCTTCTTTCACACATTTGTAGAAGTCCAATTAGACTTTTTTTCAGAAAATTGCTGTTGTACCGGAAAATTCTCAATCTAGAGTACAATCTCAATCTAGAGTACAATCTCAATCTAGAGTACAATCTCAATCTAGAGTACAATCTCAATCTAGAGTACAATCTCAATCTAGAGTACAATCTCAATCTAGTCTAAAAGTCAAGTCTCCTTTCTTGTCATTAAGTTACAGCATGGCTCACTTCCTAAAAGGCATCGCTTTTAGAAAACTATCGTAATCAACTGACAGTTTACAGTCGATCAGCCCAATCTTTGTGTCATTGACTGAGCCTTGTCATTCATCATGAATAATACCAAAGTTGAGCTAATCGAATCTAAATCTAACTGATTACGGCAGTTTTCTGAAATAAGTGCTTTTTTAGAAAACGTATTAATTAAGAGGATCTGAACAAGTAGATTTGGAAAAAGTATGGGATGAAATAGGAACATACAAGGCGGCACAAAAGTTCGGAGCCGCCTCGTTTTTAGGGCCAAAGAGAAAATTTTTTGAAAAACAATTTACAAATTCGAAATCTAGATGAAATTTCGGTCTAGAAAAGAGTTTTTTTTGCAAAAACATAACCTTCTCATCGAGTACGCAAACCTATTTTGTTGAAACAACAGTTAAAACGTGAAATCCGATTACGATTCGCTAACTCTTTAGAGCTATAAGTTTAGCGTTTCATCTTCAATCAATCTAAAATTTTGCTATTTGTCTAGAAAGGGTTTAAATTGGTTTGGTTGGTTCCATTTAGGTACAGATTTGGTTCAATTTAGGTAGAGATTCGGTTCCTTTTTGGGTACAGATTTGGTTCCATTTAGCTACAGATTTGGTTCCATTTAGGTACAGATTGGGTTCCATTTAGCTTCAGATTTGATCCCATTCAGGTACAGATTTGGTTTCATTTAGCTTCAGATTTGGTTCCATTTAGGTACAGATTGGGTTAAAGAGTTTAAAAAATTAGAATTCCTTTTCATAGACTACGCTTAATTAGAAATTTCAGAAAAGTCAGATGGTTTTTGAGAGAAACTCTAGCGACTAGGCATTTGGGTTGATTCTGGTGATATATTGTCAATTTGAAGACTTGATCTTTACTTGTAAAGTCTTAAGTTTAACACAAACTCGATAATTACAAACTTTTATAAGAATATTCAGCGTTGGATAGTTTTTCGTTATCTTAAAAGCTGAATTTGATGACTGAAAAGGACCGAATAACTGAATTTGACGACCGAAAAGGCTCCGAACTTTGTGTTACCTGTACTCTAATTTTCATTATAAGAATGGAGTGCATTTAGATCAGCAATGTTGAGCTTTTTCTAGTATTTTTGAGATAATTTTCGAACTTTTTACAAGAACGTTATCCTCTTTAGTGGGAATGTGGCTCGGTATTGGAATCGGACTCGCCGTTCTAGCAGCTATCCTCTGCATTGCTTTGTTCATATTTTGTGTTTATCGGCGACGAAGAATAAAACGAGGCCAGAGGTTTGATTTTTATTCAAAGGTTAACAACTTAATTTGAAAAATCTAGGCTTCTTTTCCTAATAGTAAGGCAATAGTAAGGCAATGTGGCTAGTTAATCAATTCTGGTTGGTTTATTGCGTTTTTGAATAAGTCTTGACACCTTTTTTCAATCTTTCGTTTAGAAATGACTATTTCACCAATCACCTATAGTTCTAGCTAAACAGAAAGTGTTTATTGTTTGATTTTCTTTCTTTTTAAACCAATCTGTGCCCATTAAGCCCAATAAGATTAGTTCTTGTAGTATTTTTTTTTTAAAAATTGAAAGTTTGTTGAAAATCTTTTGTTTCTGAGTAATTAGAGAAATAAATTAAAGATTTCTATACTTATTTTTCATTACTGAATAAATTTAGATCGATTCTACCATTCCCTGGAAGCAAAGAAACAAACGCCTATCAAAAGTATGAGCACAGCCCGGCCATGTCAAGGTTATTATAAAATTAAACTTGAAATGAAACTTTGATCAAGTCAAATAACAAATACTAAATTAATATTTAGCATTTATAGCCTATCCGGCAACGATCCATGGGAAATGCCAAGATCGAATCTCATTGTTGATTATGAGAATAAACTTGGGAGTGGAGCCTTTTGCAATGTGTTCAAGGGTGGGCAAGCTGCAGTTATTTTCATAAATAATAGCTAAATCTGTTCAAATCTGCTTGAATTCTTCAATTTCTCAGGTAGAATAGTTGGCGAGGCTCCAGTTTGTCAGCTGCAACCATCACTTCGATCCGCGCAATTCAGAGACTGTGAGGTGGCCGTGAAAATGTTACCCTCTTTTGCTGATGATATTGCAAGGAGTGACTTCATGCAGGTTTGCTTATTTTCATTTTGCTCCGAATTTTTGTTGACTTTGGAAAGAAGATATCATACTTGCAAACATGTTCATTATTAATTGAATTCTTTTTTTTTAATGGCATGACTACAGGATGATCCAAAAGTTCCCGTATAACTTTTTACTAAAACTTGATCTTAAAATGACTGAAAAAAACTATTCAACTAGTTTTTAAAATAAAAACCTTAATAAAATTATATTCAAAACCACTAATAAGAAGCTTATCTTGACTTTTTTAAGTGGTTGATATTATACTTGCAAAGGCTCTGAGCCAGCCTAAGCCAGGGCTTGAGCCTGAGCCTGAGCCTGAGCCAGGGTTTGAGCCTGAGCCTGAGCCTGAGCCAGGGCTTGAGCCTGAGTCTGAGCCTGAGCCAGGTCTTGAGCCTGAGCCTGAGCCTAAGCCAGGGCTTGAGCCTGAGCCTGAGTCTGAGTCTGAGCCTGAGCCTGAGCCAAGCAGGCTGCCAAAATCAACTTTCTTTTCTATTTTTTGAGCCATGTGTGAAGTTCAGACTAATCCCAAACAAAAATTTATAAACTTTTAATGTCCATCTTTGACTTTTGGATCACCCTGTATTATATTTTAAGACTTAAAAATTTTTAGCTTTTTTTGCCCCCAAGCCGGGTGAGAAAAAGCCCGTACAAACAAACAGACAGTCGCGGCTTTTTTATGTAATTCAGGCTGGGCCACAATTATAGAAACTCTGACCTTGCCTAGATCTAGTTTCACTAAAGGTCAGCTTCCAAAAAGGGTCTAGACAATTAGAATACAGACAAGAAGCTGGTTCCTGGACTGGCTCTAACCTTACCTGGTTTGGCTTAGCTTGCAGGAGCTTAAAAGCATTAATACGTTTTGAGAATTAATTACTAGAAGAATAGTACCTTTTGAGGCCTATTTTGCGAGCTCTTTTGCTCTTTTGAGCTCCTGTAAGCTAAGCCAAACCAAGTAAAGTTAGTCAGTCCAGGAATCAGCTTCTTCTCTGTATTCTAATTGTCTAGGCCCTTTTTGGAAGCTGACCTTTAGTGAAACTGGACCTAGGCAAGGTCAGAGCTAGACCAAAAATAGGTCCTTGCCTGAGTGAGTCAAAAAGTGTCTAGACTGGTGTGCCTAGGCACTTTTTGAGAGCTAAGCTGAAAGCCAGCCTAATTGTAGGACATGATTTCTGGACTTGCTGGTCCTGGTTTTGAAATAACTTTGCTTGAAAGCTCTCTTTCTATCCACAACCAATTACAGGAGATCAACTTCATGAAATCCCTTCGCTACCATCTTCATCTCGTCTCTATGCTCGGTTACGTATCAGACCGAAAATCCCCAATGCTCATCGTCGAGTTTTGCCCACACGGAGATCTATTGCACTACATTAGAGAAAGAAAGGATTTTATCCAAAGTGTAAGTGATAAACAAAGCAAAGATAAAAAGCGAAGATAAAAAGCGAAGACTAAAAGCAAAGAATATTGTATTTCAGGGAGTCAATAACGAAAGCGGTGTTCGAATCAAGGAAATCGTTTCGTTTGCTTGGCAAATCGCACAAGGATTGGAATATCTGAATAGCGTTGGATGCATTCATCGAGATGTTGCTGCGAGAAATGTTCTTGTAGCTGATAACTTTATTTGTAAAGTAAGTCATAAAATTGGTTTTGAATTTGTCTCTAAACCTATCAGTGAAAAAATCTTCAATCCAATTGACCAAAATTGATAAACGAACTTTGATTTAAACCTTGATTTAACCTTGATTTCATCAAAAACTTATAAAGGATTGTTTTTCATTGATTATCAATCAGATTATTAATCAGATTAGCAATCATTATCCATCAGATTATCAATCATTATCAATCAGATTATCAATCATTTTCAATCTTCAATCAATTTCAATCAAATGTTTACAATTTAACTGATAAACACTCCTAAAAAAACCAATTTTAGATCGCTGACTTTGGACTTTGTCGTTTAACCGATTCTCTTCTTTACACAGCTCGTGGAGGTCGATTACCGCTGAAATGGATGGCACCAGAAAGCCTCTCAACTTTCGAGTACTCTTTCAAGAGTGATGTGTAAGTAGAATATTCATTTATTAGTTCAAATCATGCTCAAATCATGTTCAAATCATGCTCAAATCATGCTCAAATCATGTTCCAGTTGGTCTTATGGTATTCTCCTATGGGAACTCTTCTCTCTTGGTGAGGTGCCATTTGGAGGAGTTCAAACGACAGATCTCCTCATCTATATTCGTGCCGGCAATCGACCGGATCGACCCTCGTTTTGCACGGATGAAGTGTAAGTTAATCTTAATGAAAACTTGGTGAAAAAAAGGTTAGGCTTAACTCCTCGAAAGTTTGTTTGATCGATTTTGAGGCAATGGTAGTGGATAGGAGATTAAACTGACTAAAGTTTGCCCGGGATTTCAAAGATAGTTCTATAAATAGCTAAATCTTTGGGTAATTTTGCTCATTACACTGGAAAAATTCATTTCATTTTCAATAGAAATCAGTTTTTCTTCGTTTGTTTTAATTCCTGAATAAGATAGGAAGCTTCCTTGGATAATTTTGGAAGCCCACTTGAATAAGCCAGAACACAGGATTATGGGGACCAGTAGGTTACTAGGTTTAGAGCTCATTTTGTGCAAGTTTAAAAAATTATTGAACACCCATTCTAATTAAAAAGAAGTTTCAAAGAGTTCCGATTTCAGGGGGTCAGCGAGGTAGTCTTCTATTAGAATTTTTACGATATCTATGGTATTCATCTTTTAGCTAATGTATATAGCTACCTAATTTACGTTTACAGTCTAGCGTATTGTTAGATTAGCCTAGGCTTTATAAGTTTAAGGGTTGTTGGCTCGAGCATTTCATGGCCATATTGATATTCTTGTTTCTTGATATTCCATCTTTATTTTCCATCTTGATATTCCATCTCGATATTCTTCAATTCTATCTAATCTAGGCTCATCTAACAATACGCTAGTTTATGTTCACAATCTAGCGTATTGTTAGATTAGCCTAGACAGGGTGCGGCTTATATAATCTTGTACTTGATGCATCTTTTTGGCTTTCGAAGTCAATAGATTAACCTTGAAACAACAATTAATTGGAAAGCAACAATTAATCATAAAATCTACGCGTTATTTTACATAGGATAGAAGAACCGCAACATTTTTTAATGACTTTGGCAAGAGAGCAGTACAGAAATGCTATGCAAGACGCTGAAAAACAGTTAAATTCGAGTTTGGGGTCTCTTGATATCCTTCAATTCTATCTAAAATTTCAGCTGGCGACTCATCATGACTTGTTGGCATCTCGAGGCCGATCGTCGACCATCCTTCACCGAATTGGGAAGAGAATTCGGGAAAATCCTTGAAATCGCCACGGAAAATTATGGCTATCTGATCCCAACGAGTCAACGAATCAGTCGAGACAGTCGAGAGAGTCAAATGAGTCGAATGACAACCGCCACTCCAAGTGATGAGAGCAGTGAAATCAGTGATGTGTGAAAGAATTGCCGGTTACGATTTTTGTCTTAGATCATTTTTTTCATTGATTTCCAGCACCAATTCTTAATTGATCCTTTAATTAATGTCCTTTAATGGAACCATTTACTCAAGTCTTTCATGTAAATTATCTTATTTTCTTGTTCTTTTTTAAAGCTCTTTTCCTATCTTTGTATCATATAAATTTCCATACAAAATCTCCGATGAAACGCTCTCTAAAAACGGGTATTCGTCCGGCTTTAGTTTTTTTTTGTTTGTTTTGTTCATTCGTGTTCCTGAAGTGTATTTAATAAATTTATCAGTGATTTGGCAAACAAAAACATTGAAAAAAAGACAATAAAAGCTTAAAATACATAAAAATTGATCAAATTCTGCAGGGTTTTCAGGAATCACCCGGATCAACCGTACAAGCCGTACACGTACAAGCCGTACACGTACAAGCCGTACACGTACAAGCCGTACACGTACCGTACACGTACAAGCCGTACACGTAAAAGCCGTACACGTACAAGCCGTACACGTACAAGCCGTACACGTACAAGCCGTACACGTACAAGCCGTACACGTACAAGCCGTACACGTACAAGCCGTACACGTACAAGCCGTACACGTACAAGCCGTACACGTACAAGCCGTACACGTACAAGCCGTACACGTACAAGCCGTACACGTACAAGCCGTACACGTACAAGCCGTACACGTACAAGCCGTACACGTACAAGCCGTACACGTACAAGCCGTACACGTACAAGCCGTACACGTACAAGCCGTACACGTACAAGCCGTACACGTACCGTACACGTACAAGCCGAAAAATGAAATAACTTTTCAAACAATAATAATGTTATGTTTTGAAATCATATTAACAAGTAAAATTAACTTTTTTTCGAATATATTGCCTTTTGTGTTGATGCATGCCTGCAAAAGTCTTCGAAACGCGTCCGTGGCGAAGAGATATGCTGAATAACTATTCAATATAACAAAGCAAAAGGTGAAATGTTAACATATATGAAACGAGATCACGAAGCATCCAAAATAATAATAATTTTCACAATGCGAACATCTAATAAAAGCAGAGCTTCTTTTGGCTTTTCTTTTACAAATTACAATTTACATGACAATGACCAATGAACGGGTAAAAACTTGTAAAGTCTTAAACTTGAAGAAATAAAAAGACAAAGACCAAGAGCGGGATCGAACCCCGATCTTAAGACCGAGAGGAGGTCCCATTATCCATTAGGCCACCGTCGCCCACACCCTGGCGATTGCAAAGCGCTCTTTCACACATTCACCACGATGGAATCCACCGATGGGTCCGAGGGTGACTGCTATCTGGGACGACAGGACCCACCGATGGGTCTCAGGGTCACTGCTAGCTGGGACGACAGGATCCACCGATGAGTCCCAGGGTGACTGCTATCTGGGACGATAGGACCCACCGGTGGGTCTCAGGGTGACTGCTATCTGGGACGACAGGACCCACCGGTGGGTCCCGGACCTCAAGTCGCGCAAACCCTCATAATTTCCACCAAAACCTCATTCTAGATGTAAAACAGTGTTCCTGATCGAGTGACGCTGTTAGATTTTCAGTATCTTGCTTGATATTCAAGAGTAGGCGTTTAGAAGTTCGGATCTGATGTTATTTTCAAAAGGAAGACATAATAATAAAAAGAAATAATAAAAAGTGGGGAAGACAAACAAGTGCAAAGCAAAATCTGCGGCCAATTTGGCGCCGAATGGTATATGGCTCATGTCAATTGTCAATTCAGTTGACCTTCCTTTGTAAATCCGCAGAATTTCACGCTGAATCCGAATCTGCTTTCCGTTTTTGCAACGCAGGACTCTGTCAAAAGTTATAAGCGCTCAAAGTTTTGCATGGGATTTCGAAAATCACAATCCGAATTTAGAAGCAGATTTTCGGGGGCTTAAAGAAGCAGTGATGGCCGAGTGGCAGCGGGTTAGAATACAAGGCAAACCCGTGAAATTCTGCATCGAATGGTATATGGCTCATGTCATTTGGTTAGCCTATCCAGTTGACCTTCGCTTGTTAGTAAGATGTATGTGGTCTGGAAACGAAGCTCGTGTGACAAACCTCGTGAAACACGGGAAGCTCGTGCCTTTCCCTAGCCTGGGGGCCAAGACTTAGTTTACAACATTAATTCTTGTAATTACATTCAAGAAATCTAATATTATCATAATTCAATTATGAAACCATTACCCAATGCAACGCAATTTTCAGTACAAATGTTTTCAAGTAGCACTATGTTTTGACAATTTCTGAACCATTTAATTGACCTTTAATGACTTTTAGAACAAATTTTCAACCTTTTAGGTAGACTTTTTAGAATATCGCCCCCCATTTCTTCACTTTCACTCTTTGTTGTTTAGCTGTATGTTTGAGGAGAGTGTGAAATTCCAAACATTCCATTCTTGGAGTTGCCCTCATTAATCCCGAATTAGTTCCTTCGATCTCCACACTCTCCCTCGTTTTCTTGCCACCAATATACAAACTTTTTGACATTTTGCGGTAAACAATGAAACCAGTGAAAGAAAGGAAAAACTCTGGCATGTCGAGAATTTCTAAACAAATGAAAACTAAAGAATAAAGAGTTGTTGCAGAGGTTTTGTGATGTTCTAGAGGTTCTAGAGGTTCTAGAGTTTTTCTAGAGTGTTCTAAAAGTTGATTTTCTAAAGATAAAGCCAAGCTTGAACTGGGTAAGAATAGGGATTTTCTAAAAAATCTGAATTTATCAGACTAAAATTGGCCAAGCCGACCCAGATCTGATTAGCGGGTTTGGCCTGAATAGTTTAGATTTTGACAAGCTTCTAATTATTACTAAAAACTACTGTAAGACTACTGTAAGAATACTATTTGTCTTATTAGGTTGGCAACTTTCAAACTTCCGCTCACTTTTTTATGATTTGTTTGGCTTCTTTTAATAGAAACTTGACTTCTGATGAAACGTGAATTTATTCTGAGAATTCTAGACGAAAAAACCAGTGGCTATCCTCAAATCGAGAGCCGAGAACCACTCCCAAGCTAGATATTCATGAAAAGAAGACCATGCTCTGTTGTTGGTGGAATGCAATAGGTTTAGTGTACTATTAAGTGATAAAACCTAGAGAAACAGTTGATGTTGAACTTTATTCAAAACAATTGGTTCGAGTTTACGAGGCTTTGAAGAAATTGAAGCTCAAAGCTTCAAGGGTCCGATTCCTTTGAAGGAATCGGAAATCCTCCACGACAACGCAAAATCGCATACGGCAAAAGTCACTCACAAAAAAAATCAAAGAGATTGGCGGGAAATTGTTGCCCAACCTTACTCGCCTGACCTAGCACAATCAGATTACTTTTTTTCGGTCGTTGAAACACTTGATGGGAGAAAAGTTCGATTATCACGTTCAGGTCATAGTTCATAGCTCAGGTCATAGCTCAGGTCATAGCTCAGGTCATAGCTCAGGTCATAGCTCAGGTCATAGCTCAGGTCAAGCACTCAACACACACTTCACCTCCCAAAACTCCTCAGTTTTTCGAAAATTGGATTCAACAAAAAGGCAAAATGACATTCACAAAAAGGCAAAATGACATCGACAAAAAGGCAAATATCTTTTGGATTAAAGTTTTCTATTTTGTGTTTTGTGCAATAAACAAATTGTTATTTAAAACGAAACTTTGAAAGTTTCCAATCTAATAATCCAAATCATAATCTTATCCGAAATATCTTCATAGTTCTTTTGTGGATTTGATCAATTAGTATTTGCTTTGTGTTTATAAGAGTTAAAGCAACATATTTTCAACGTTTTACCATCCTTTTTACCAATCTTCATCGGCCCAAGTGGCATAAATCTTTTTTGAAATCCACTCAATTGAATGTGCGCTAAAAATTTGTATGATTAATTTAAGACTAATCGAGATGAAGCTCTTCATTTCATCAAGGCTTTTGGTTAGGTAGAAATATAATTTTCAAAAAAATAGCTTATTTCTGATAAGTAGCACTATAAATTTACTATAAATTTATATATAAATAACATATTACTATAAATTTATTCAAATTTCATTTTTTTACAATAAAATAATTCGAAACCAGTTAAAATCTTTTTGTTTTTTTTGTTTTTAAGCCACAATCCCGAAACGATCGAAATTCCGGGTGATCGTGTTCATTTATAGCTTGATTATGCCTAAAAGTTTACATAAAATCTCTTCACTTTTAAATAAACTGAATAAACTGAATAAACTGAAGATTTTTCAACTGAATCCAAATCTGAATCCAAATCTGCTCTTTGCTCTCCATTTCTTTTAATACCAAAGTCCAATTCCTATCCAGAATCCAATGCATCCCCTCAAAAATGTGAACTCCCCTCAAAAATGTAATTCTTGTACTCAAAATTACTTCAGTACTTTAGTTCATAAAAAAGTAATATTTGAGACGTTCAAAATCAAATTCTTTCATCAATTTTTGTCTTCATCAAAAGTTTATTATGTCTACTTTTTCCCTCTCATGTGCTTTATTAATTCCCCGTTTCACCGATTCAAAATGAATTCGGTAACGAGTTTCTTTGCTTATCTTTTTCTTTTCACTAATCCTCTGCCAGTGATCAAAGCTTGTGGGGTTTTTTTGAATCAAAGATTGAATGAAAGCAAAAGGGGAAACTTTGGGAATTCTTCTATCAGCACTTTTCTCGTGGAAATGATGTTTGTGTTTGTGTGAAAGTCGAAAAAGTGTCGAGATTTTCAATGTTCAATGTTCGTTTATATAGTGCAGTGCTGAAATAGCATCTCAACAAAACAACAAGTTGCCTGGACACTTATCCATTCATTTTATATATATTGGATTGGTGAATTGAAAACTGCCGGCTATTTCGCGGGACTCGCAAATAAAAAAAACAACAGCATTGAACCAGCTGAAAGGGGGTCTGGTTACTTCAACATTTCCTCTAATTATTGCGAAAAAATTATGCTCCCAGCTTTTTATTTTTTTAATATCTTTCTTCACTTCTCG